CTTATCATCGAAATCGTTGGTGTCAATGTTACTCAGTCCTGGTCGTTATCAACGCGCCTTTTTTTTTTCCTGCGCCACTATTTTTCTCAGCTAAAATGCGTTCGTTTTTAATCGCCGCTGACCTGGTGTGACATCACTCGGGAGGGGGGGGGGTCATCATGTTCGCATTGCTACAGAGAGGAGCTTCGTTTCCAAAGCAGTTGCAGATGCGTGCCTGCAGAATTCCAGCCTCGCAGTCAAATAGAAGTAAAGAGCAAGTGGCCGCTGCACACACGCCAACCAATTCGGACCGGGCACACCCCAATGCGGCTCTGATCAACTTGAAATGGACCAAATCAGCATTAAAATGTCGTGAGTTTGCCAATTGTTTCCCGGCTACACGGGGCCACCGTGCGTCGCCACAGAGTGATGCTCATATTATTCACAGTGATTCCTTATCTCGTTTTGTTGATTAGCCAACCTCTTCAAGGGATAGATTTTTTTTTGCTTTTCATTTCCTTAATTGCCTCAATAAAATGCCACAAATATTGAACAATTACACTGTAAATAATTCGATGAATTATATTTTTCATGAGATTACTTTACATTATGTACTGTATAGCCAACTGGTTAGTATTGTATTAATTTAATGAACGAAAGGACATTTCGAATGCTGATCTGCTTCCGTTATTTATCACGCAAGACAGTTTGATGCTCAAGGAGCGAAAGGAAGGCTCGATGGAGCTTTTTTATGTCATATTACGAACATTAGAAAAGCTACCTTGTCAAAACCTGGCATCTTTACGGCTTTTAACTACATATGCTAAAATGTAGCTTGCTCAGGAGGGAATATACAATATATAAGCTTTCACAGTTGGCAATTTTGTGTTTATACCTGTGAGTAACTCTACCACAGGGATGGCATTATGACGATGCGATCTTCTGCATTCCAATAAGAACACATTTTGAATTGCGAAGAGTCTCAAAATTCGGTGGCATGGCTGGGGATCCGAGAGCCAAGTTCAGGTGAATCAAATGACAACACGTGGCAGGGTGGCTGCGTGGAAGAGGAATATTTGGGACAATGAACTGCACCGATGAGTTTTCATTTTAAAAACGTTTGCCACTTTTGTTCTCTGAGGTGAGAGAAAAAAATGCAGTAAATATTAATTGTAATAAAGAGAGATCATTGACACGGCAGACATTAAATGAACGTGACTTCCCAGCTTCATTCAAGATGCCTTAAAGAAACAACAACAAAATCCCACACTATTCAAAACAAACAATGTACCATGCGCAAATGCTGTGAAATCTGTGACTCTCATAAGTAATGGACTTGGCAACATTCTGGAGATCAGATTTCGTCAGGAGCTGGAGATTACATTTCGTCAGGAGCTGGAAATTACATTTCGTCAGGAGCTGAAGATTACATTTCGTCAGCAGCTGGAGATTACATTTTGTCAGGAGCTGGAGATTACATTTCGTCAGGAGGTGGAGATTACATTTCGTCAGGAATTGGAGATTACATTTCGTCAGGAATTGGAGATTACATTTCGTCAGGAGTTGGAGATGACATTTTGTCAGGAACTGGAGATTACATTTGGTCAGGAGGTGGAGATTACATTTCGTCAGGAGGTGGAGATTACATTTCGTCAGGAGTTGGAGATTACATTTTGTCAGGAACTGGAGATTACATTTGGTCAGGAGGTGGAGATTACATTTCGTCAGGAGTTGGAGATTACATGCTTCGCTCGCGTGGATGCAGGATCGTCGCTAACGGAGTCTGGGCCCCTGCGAGGCTCAGGCTGCCGGGACCCTCATGCCGCCGGCGTAATTATCGCGTGTTGGTGCGGCATTGATTACCCGAACCTCAAGTGACCGGCGGCAGTGTCAATAACGCAAATTACTCCATCCTTTAAAATTAAACACTCTTTACTCACCCAGAGAAAGATATGGATTTCTAACAAAAATCTAACCACTTCGAGAGGATCAAGAGGCACCACAACGAGCGAACCAGGGTCGTTTGACAGCCACCGCGCTTCTGTTTTCACCGCTTGGACTCTGTGTTCTTTGCCGAGGCGGTGGAGGAGGCAGCGTAGGGCAATGTGGGGCAGCACGGGGGCAGCTGCCTCCCACGCAGTCTGCCTCGTACCTTTTGTGTCAAAATGCAATTTTTCAAACAGGTGAGAAACTTTGAGGTTGGTGTGATCAAGCAATTTTACGGGGGAAAACTTTCAACGCAGTCATGCGCGGTAGCTCGGAGTGATCACATTTTTCACGATGCATTGACTGCTGTCACTGGTTCTCGCCAAAGCAAAAACATTCTAAGGGAGAAATAAGCAAGTGGGCTAGCAAACGAGCAGCGGAGTTGAGGCGTCTATTTTGCAGTGAAAGGTGCACACGTAAACAATGCCCATGTTTCTGTGCAGATGTTAGAGATATAACTGTCAGACGGGAAAACACCCACAGTTCCTAGCAGCAAGATTTGCGGTGTCATTTGTCTGTTGCTGACTGTTCGTGCCTGTGCGGCAGGTAACGGGTTTGGCTTGTGGAAGAAGCCTCTGCTGTACCTCCTCGTATGCAGCCGCTACGAGAGCGTAATTGGCCACGATGGTGAGGCTGCGTGATTGCAGAGATCACTTAGTTCGGTGCCTTGCGCGAGAGAATCGAAAATGACAAGCTATGTTTATTAATTTAGATTGACGAACTGAAGGCCCACAAAGAACACTACAACTTTTATTTGTCGCACCCTGAGCTGGAACGAACACGCAGCGTGCCAGAGCGGTACTGGCGATGCATTCTGTTTAAAAACATGCAACTTGCACGGCCTGTGAACACTTTAATGAGACGATCCTGAACTTTGCCAAGTTCTAAATAATCTTTGGCCGTTCGCAAAAACTTTATGAATGCAGTTGAGAGAGAGAGAGAGAGAGGGGGGGAGGGAGTGGAAAGTGAGATTTTTTTCAGGGGTTTTTTTTTGTTCAGAGTTTGAGTCACGGGTTGGTCATTTCACGCCACGAGCGGTGGTGGACCGACCAGTGCGAGCTGGTCTCGCGCTAATGCGGCCATTCCCGTGCGCCGCCGCGCCGCGTGGCCCAGCCGCCTCTCCGCACTCTGCCGATTTTCAAGTCATATGACATGACCAATGTTCGCTTGAATTTAAATGGCAAAAAAATACAACAGGTGAAAGATCGCCAACTGCGACAAACTGCAAAGAGGAAACACTTTAATATCTGCATGCCAGAGAGAAAAAAAAACTAATGTTTGTACTAGTTGCTTAGCGCAGCTAAATCTTAACGTTACACTAAAAAAAGGAGGCATGATACAGCTTTTTCATTATCCAAAGCATTTCATTCCTTCAAACTCAATTACCTTCCAAAAATGCAGCACATGACATATTGCAGCCAGCCATTTAAGGTTATTTCAAGTCAGAGTAAAACGACTACAATTCCCCCTCCTGCCAGATTCATTCATCAGAACGAAAGCAAAAAAAAGGTCGGAATGTTTATCAGGGCTGAGCGATTCAAGGGGTCATACTGTCGTGCGGTAAATAGAAGCCACGATGCAGCACAATCGAGCACTTTTGCCAGCAAATGACAGGGCATTGTAATGCCACGATGTGCCGAGCATACAACCGCATGCGGCGCCACAACACACATGGAGGGAATTCTCTGTCACTTAAAAAAAAACTCCTCTGGATTTTTGCTTCAGCGAAAATGAGACGAGGGAGGTACGAGTAAGAAAAAAAAAGATCGTGCTCCAGATGAGTCTGAAATAAATAAAAGCAAACGTCACTTCGCTTCTTTTGCGCAAATGCAACAGGCAGCTGCAAAGAAAGCGACGTGATGCTCGCTCTGGTTGCACGAACAAAACGCGGTTTTTGGAGATGTTGTTTCTGAAGGTGAGTTGCTCACTTTTCACCGTGGGGGTGGGGGAAGGGGGTCAGGGTTTGCTTTGCGGATTCCGCATCGAGAGTCAACGCTGGTGCCACGTGATAGCGCCACCGAATCGCCCTCCCTAATCGAGTCTCAAACGGCCTCACGGGGCCCAGTGCACCCCGGCATGTGCGGCGATGATGGAGAGTAGTGATGGGAGAGAGGGGATGGGAGAGTGATTGTTGGGAGAGCCGCGATGTCTGCTGGTGATGGTGAGATTAGTTAGAGGGTAATGGTTACGAGAGTACAGTGAGAGCAGAGTTGGTGATGAGAAAGTGATGATGAAGGGTGGTAATTGGAGAGTTGTGATGATGAAGATGACAATGACGATGATGAAGAAGTGTGGTCAAGGAGAGTGTTGATTTGAGCGTAGTGACAGAAGAGTTGGTGACGGAGAGCGGCAATGGGAGAGTGTTGATGTAGAATAGAGATGGGAGAGTGGAGATGGAGGTTGGCGATGGCGGTATGGTGATGCGAGGGTGGGTGATGTGAGTGCTGTCGCATTTGGAGGCGAGGTGTGACGAGGCGAGGGAGAGTGGGGTGGGTGGGGGGAGGAGGAGGAGGCTGCTTTATGGGAGTGTCAGTGATTTACAGACATCAAACGGTGGCAGAAACACCAGAGGCCTGATTTGCATTCAAGGAGAAAAGTACGATGTCCCGAGCTGCTGCACACAGCTGAGGTCCTGCTCGTTTGTTATGGCGTCTCCAACGCGGCACCTGTGACAGCAGTTTAGTGCCATGCCGCCGTCGCCCTATCCATTCCGCGCAGCCGATGAATTAGCATCACAGAATAGCGCACTAAAGCCAACGGCCCATGTCCCCCCGCGTAGTTCGCCGTGTCTCCACACACACACACACACGGGCGACAAATGACACTTAGGTGTAATTAACTCAGCCGAAAATGTGCGGAATATTGAAGTGCCCCCCTCCTCCCCCCCATTAAGTTAATGTTTCATTTCCACTTTCACCTGAGCGTTCTTGTGCCACCCGCACCTACGGTGATCTGCATCGCTGGCGGGGGGGGAGGGGGAGGGATTAAACGACAGATCTTCGTCATGAAAGATCTCTGTTCGTAATGCTCCCGACCGAAGTCGTCGTTGCCACGGCGGCGCGTGAGAGACGCCTCTGCGCTCCGCGCGACGTCCACGAAGGACAGCGTCGAGACGGAGTCCCCCGTCGGAGACGTGCCCTTCTGTGGTGGGCAACAGCCGATCCGCGTGCAGGCCGCACACCCGTGAGAGTGCTTCGAGTGCGGTGTTCAAGCGCGTGCGCGCGCCGCGCGATGGCACCTTTTGGTTGAGGGACGCAGCGTCGTCGACCGAGTCGCGGATTGCGAACGACGCCACGTTTTGGTGTACGCGAACACCCGTCGCACCTGTGCACACTTCGCAATCGTCAACGCGAGTTAGACCAGACGTGGTGGGCTGTGTGCGCCGCAAGTTGGACGAATGCGCGGAAACGTCACAAGCGAATTCGTTGACTTGACAACTCAACAGCGACAGGGCCTTCTGAGTTTACAGCGAACAGCTGAGAATCAACCGAGGGGAAACGAAGAGTAGCAAGCGAAGTGCAAATTGATTGGCTTTGATGATGTGGAGGGAATATAGTAGACTCCGGAGAGCCCCGCACAGCACTCTGGACGAGCGTGAGACAGTGCCTTGCTCGCCTTCAAACCCTCTTAGTTCGCAGTTCAAGGAACGCGTAATGCTTTTAATTCAATCTCTTATTGCAAAGCAAAATATTCGTCGAGTTTTATCTTTACTGAAATACCCCTTTCACTCGTTTGGCAGACGATTCTAATTGTGCATTCGTGCAGTCCCCAGTCGTCGAAAATCACTCCCAGCTCTACCTCCATGCAACTTTCAAATTATCTCAGGTGCAACACGCACTTTTGATGTAAAACAATCAAACCATCACATACGTACAGAAGGCGATGTATTAGTGGCAGACATTGTGGGTGAGGAGTAATTTGGAGTGAGATGGTGTCAGTTGGTGTGGGTGAGTGAGTGGGCAGGAGTTGTGGGTGAGTGGGTGGGCAGGAGTTGTGGGTGAGTGAGTTGGTGGGCAGGAGTTGTGGGTGAGTGGGTGGGCAGGAGTTGTGAGTGAGTGGGTGGGCAGGAGTTGTGGGTGAGTGGGTAGGCAGGAGTTGTGGGTGAGTGGGTGGGCAGGAGTTGTGGGTGAGTGGGTGGGCAGGAGTTGTGAGTGAGTGGGTGGGCAGGAGTTGTGGGTGAGTTGGTGGGCAGGAGTTGTGGGTGAGTGGGTGGGCAGGAGTTGTGAGTGAGTGGGTGGGCAGGAGTTGTGGGTGAGTGGGTAGGCAGGAGTTGTGGGTGAGTGGGTGGGCAGGAGTTGTGGGTGAGTGGGTGGGCAGGAGTTGTGAGTGAGTGGGTGGGCAGGAGTTGTGGGTGAGTGGGTGGGCAGGAGTTGTGGGTGAGTGGGTGGTCAGGAGTTGTGGGTGAGTGGGTGGGCAGGAGTTGTGGGTGAGTGGGTGGTCAGGAGTTGTGAGTGAGTGGGTGGGCAGGAGTTGTGGGTGAGTGGGTGGGCAGGAGTTGTGGGTGAGTGGGTGGGCAGGAGTTGTGGGTGAGTGGGTGGGCAGGAGTTGTGGGTGAGTGGGTGGGCAGGAGTTGTGGGTGAGTGGGTGGTCAGGAGTTGTGGGTGAGTGGGTGGGCAGGAGTTGTGGGTGAGTGGGTGGTCAGGAGTTGTGGGTGAGTGGGTGGTCAGGAGTTGTGGGTGAGTGGGTGGGCAGGAGTTGTGGGTGAGTGGGTGGGCAGGAGTTGTGGGTGAGTGGGTGGGCAGGAGTTGTGGGTGAGTGGGTGGGCAGGAGTTGTGGGTGAGTGGGTGGTCAGGAGTTGTGGGTGAGTGGGTGGGCAGGAGTTGTGGGTGAGTGGGTGGTCAGGAGTTGTGGGTGAGTGGGTGGTCAGGAGTTGTGGGTGAGTGAGTAGGCAGGAGTTGTGGGTGAGTGGGTGGTCAGGGTGTGTGGGTGAGTGGGTGGGCAGGAGTTGTGGGTGAGTGGGTGGTCAGGAGTTGTGGGTGAGTGGGTGGGCAGGAGTTGTGGGTGAGTGGGTGGGCAGGAGTTGTGGGTGAGTGGGTGGGCAGGAGTTGTGGGTGAGTGGGTGGGCAGGAGTTGTGGGTGAGTGGGTGGTCAGGGTGTGTGGGTGAGTGGGTGGGCAGGAGTTGTGGGCGAGTGGGTGGGCAGGAGTTGTGGGTGAGTGGGTGAGCAGGGGTTGTGGGTGAGTGAGTGGGCAGGAGTTGTGGGTGAGTGGGTGAGCAGGGGTTGTGGGTGAGTGGGTGGGCAGGAGTTGTGGGCGAGTGGGTGGTCAGGGTGTGTGGGTGAGTGGGTGGGCAGGAGTTGTGGGTGAGTGGGTGGTCAGGGTGTGTGGGTGAGTGGGTGGGCAGGAGTTGTGGGTGAGTGGGTGGGCAGGAGTTGTGGGTGAGTGGGTGGTCAGGGTGTGTGGGTGGTCAGGGTGTGTGGGTGAGTTGGTGGGCAGGAGTTGTGGGTGAGTGGGTGGTCAGGGTGTGTGGGTGAGTGGGTGGTCAGGGTGTGTGGGTGAGTGAATGGTCAGGGTGTGTGGGTGAGTGGGTGGGCAGGAGTTGTGGGTGGTCAGGGTGTGTGGGTGAGTGGGTGGGCAGGAGTTGTGGGTGAGTGGGTGGTCAGGGTGTGTGGGTGAGTGGGTGGGCAGGAGTTGTGGGTGAGTGGGTGGTCAGGGTGTGTGGGTGAGTGGGTGGGCAGGAGTTGTGGGTGAGTGGGTGGTCAGGGTGTGTGGGTGAGTGGGTGGGCAGGAGTTGTGGGTGAGTGGGTGGTCAGGGTGTGTGGGTCAGTGATAATTGGCGATAAGTGGGTTATTGTCAGGCAATGGAGTCGAGTGATTAGCGCAGTGGTCGAGCCGGTGGTACGCAGCATGGGTGAGTGGTCGGCAGTGTGGTGGAGTTAGTGGGGAGCTGGTGCGGGTGAGTGTTGGGCAGTTCACCCCACTCCACCAGCCAAGGCCTCCTGCGACGGCCACCTCGAGGTGGTGGCGGTGAAGCAAGCCGAGCTCTGCCATGCTGCGTCGCCGCACAAAATCAACGAGCAATTCATGCGCCGCTTTTCTGTTTTTTTCTCTTCACTCTCTCGAAATGTTCTTCATAATGAGGCCTTTTTAAACCCTCACAGCTGCGTGGAATTTTCACAAGCTGGGAAGGAGAAAACACAAGCCGTTGCAGCCCGATAAAGACAGCCATTAACGGGAAGCCCCCCCCCCCCCAACCTCAGGGTGCTACGCACAACACGTGGGGGGGGGCGCGAGGTTGTCTGCCAGGATCGCCGTCTTCTAACGACATCCACACTCCCTCAAAACAAAAACACAAACGGGGCCTGATTAATGGAGGTGGCGGCCCTCACTGTCAATCTTCCCGCTCTTTCTCCCCCGCTCTCCCCCATCACGCCCCCCCACCCCACTCTCCCATCACGTTCTTCCATCACGCTGTCCCATCACTCTCCCATCACGCTCTCCCCACTCTCCCATTACTCTCTCCCATCACGCTCTCCCCACTCTCCCATCACGCTCTCCCCACTCTCCCATCGCTCTCTCCCATCACGCTCTCCACACTCTCTCCCCACTCTCCCATCGCTCTCTCCCATCACGCTCTCCACACTCTCTCCCCACTCTCCCTTCACGCTCTCCCCACTCTCCCATCGCTCTCTCCCATCACGCTCTCCCCACTCTCTCCCATCACTCTCTCCCATCACTCTATCCCCACTGTCTCCCATCACGCTCTCCCCACTCTCTCCCATCACTCTCTCCCATCGCTCTCTCCCATCGCTCTCTCCCATCGCTCTCTCCCATCACTCTCTCCCCACTCTCTCCCATCACGCTCTCCCCCCTCTCTCCCATCACTCTCTCCCATCGCTCTCTCCCATCGCTCTCTCCCCACTCTCCCATCGCTCTCTCCCATCACGCTCTCCCCACTCTCCCATCACTCTCTCCCATCACTCTCCCATCGCTCTCTCCCCCACTGCTCCCCACTCTCCCATCACTCTCTCCCCACTCTCTCCCATCACGCTCTCCCCACTCTCTCCCATCACTCTCTCCCATCGCTCTCTCCCATCACTCTCTCCCATCGCTCTCTCCCATCGCTCTCTCCCATCACTCTCTCCCCACTCTCTCCCATCACGCTCTCCCCACTCTCTCCCATCACTCTCTCCCATCGCTCTCTCCCATCACGCTCTCCCCACTCTCCCATCACTCTCTCCCATCACTCTCCCATCGCTCTCTCCCCCACTGCTCCCCACTCTCCCATCACTCTCTCCCATCACTCTCTCCCATCACGCTCTCCCCACTCTCCCATCACGCTCTCCCCCACTCCTCCCCGCTCTCACCGTGGGTATCGCCGCGCTTTTGGCGTGCGCCTCAAACTAATTTCGCATCAGAGCAATCAAACATCTTTCATCTCATTAACAGCAGCACAGATGTTGGTGGGTAGCTAAAAAAAAGGGGGCTCGCTTAATTAAGCATGCAAACTACCCCGATTGAGTGCCGGTTTTCGACTGTTATGGAGGAAATTAACTGAGGCCGTATCAGATTTCGGCTAATGAACTGTTACTTTCCGCTCCTCCCGGTTAACAGCCTATTAACATGGCAGTAATAAATTTCTCCTAATCTGAATTGAAAGCGGGGGCTGCTGGTGAGTGATGCAACAACGTGACGAGGGTCCTCAAACGAGCCGATACGACGGGAAAAGATATTGTTGGGGATCGGAGAGAGAGAAGGAAAAATAAAGAAAGGAATTTGGTTTCTTTGGAGATAAGTGTGAAATAAATACGGCATTCCCGTCCCCCGTGTAAACCCTCCCCGATAAATGAAATACCCCATTGCCTGCTGTCGAGAAGCTGATTGCATTGATGTTTATTGGATTTGAAGAGCACAGCTAAATGGATTGTTTGAAGTGGGTTTGACATGAAATGGACGCTCCCTCTTGGATAACTTAATGCAACTAATGGAAGTGTTTAATGATACAAAGGCGGAGGGGCACTCGCTCGACGGCGGCTCTTCAACTCGCCAAACACAACCCCAAACGACGCTTTCGGCGGGAATGCTAATTTCGCGCGCGTTTGATTACTTTCGGCACGAAATCGCTTTGCCTTTGACCAAACACCCTGCAGGTAACGCGTAATCATTAACGCGGGGAAGTTTCGTCCGTTGTGTTTTTTTTTTTTGGCGTGTTGCTGCTTCTGCTGCTGCTGCTGCTTCATTTTGGAGCGAGGTTTACGCAGCAGGTGAACACGCACCAGGAGATGGAACTCGCAGGAAATAATCATTCCAACCGAGGGTGCCCTGAGCGGTGGAGGCTCGCGATGCGCACAGGCAGGAGGACGTGGGCGCACACGCGCGACCTCGAGCCATCGATCGCTGTGGCCTCGGCTCCTCGCATTGAAAAGGCGCAATGCTCCCCGCAAGAGAAAAAAACACATCAACTCAAGTCGGGACAAAACAATAGCTAAACCTTTTTTTTTACTTACCTCAACACAAAAAGGCGTTCGCTTTTAAATGCAACAATTAGAGACGCACCGGACTGATAACGCGTGACACCGTGAACCCCGCAATCTGGCTGCCCGCATGATGATGCCGGTTGTAATTACTGGCGAAACGTCGTACACTCGGATTGTAAATGTTGTGGCTTGACTCTCCAACGCACCGGTTAGTGCTGTACTAGTATACTACACTATACACTACATTATACACTACACTACTATACACTACACTATACACTACACTATACACTACACTACTATACACGACACTATACACTACACTACACACTAGTGCTGTATTAGTGACGAATTGGCCACGTTCTGTTTACGTGACAACCCTTACTAGTTGGCCGTGTCGGGTGGTGGCGGGTTTATCGACACGTTTACGCGACCTAACCCAACAACAAACCGTATTACGGGCGATAAAACGTACTTGAAATGTTCCCCGACAAAACATTAACCCCGAGGAGCCGACGTAAGTTGTTCTGTAAAAGACGAAGGATCAGGGCGAGGGAGTGCAGCTGTGAGCGGCGCGCGGCTCGGAGCCACTCCGCGGGACGCGAGCGCTCCTCCTCTTCCTCACGCCGCCCAAACTCGGCCCTCTCCACGCGTTGGGCTGGCTTAGAGGAATTCCACACCGTCGCTTCTTACAAACAAAGTGTCTTGTGGTACAACAACAACAACAACACAAAGGGGCCACATTTTGTGTTTTTCTCCGGCTTCAGTAAATGTCGAGCAGTGGATCTTAGCCTGGGGTGCAGGCACCCCCTGAGTGTGCGAGGTGCCCTCTCTGGGGGTTGCGAGACACGGCCAGATTTTTCCAGAAGGTAAATCATCGCAACACACATTAAGCACGGACACGTCAGTACAGCTACTTTGTTTCATGAAACCTCATGTATTTATTAACATTATACATTAAAAAAACATTTACGATAAAAAACCAAAGGGCTACAAGGCTACAGAAAGGTTAGGGACCACTGATTTAGATTGTGAACCAAACCCTCGGCTGCACCTCTGCTGCCCCAGTTACACGTGCAGGGACTGCATCGGCACACGCACACACACGCACACACACGGCCTCGGCACTCTGAGTGTCCCAGAGTAAAAGGTGGCCCCGTTTCACGTGAACCGGGCGGCGTTCACCTCGATGAGTTCGTGGGCACGTACGCTCCTAATGAGAGGCAATCTCTCCCCTCCTTCCGCACGAACATGGATCATTATCGCGTTGATGCAGAGTGACGCTGAGTCACAATCCCCGTGATGTCCCGGTGATTAGGACCAATGGGAGAAGAGGTAAACAGTTGTTTACAGACCACCAGCGGCGAACGTTCAGCGGGGAAATTGCGGGGACACGATGCAGCCTCCCGTTGCTGGCTCTGGCTGATGGATGGCGCGGCGCTTGCACGGCCGGACTGCTATGACATCAGCGAGTTTGACACTCTATATGGATTATACCCGCAGAGGAAACCTACGGCGGATCACAGCTCGAAATCTGCAAATGGGTACAGAGCCATTTACAACGTGAAAAGCCACCAAAAAACGCTGCATGCTCTTGAGAGATCATGAGTAATATTCGATTTTAGCTGGCATCAAATTTGAAAGAAGAAAAAAACACATATTTTTCCTTAAAGCTAATATTGCTTATTGTGGCTTGGGTTAGCACACTGTTTAATCTTGCAAATAGCGCAGAGAGAAGGGCCTCCTCCCAGCAGCTCTGCACGCAGCAGCCACTGGTGACGCTACCTGCATTATTTCAATTACTCCATTCCTCACTTGCAGCGGCAGCGTCGGCAGCCTATCATGCATCAACCCGCCCGCTTGTCAATTATGTAACAAAAGTAAAAATGTGCACCTCTGCGGTTGACCCGGTTAAACGCGGTGGCCACGTGGATGTAAGTTTTGTATTTTTACTCGTCAAATACATCCCACTTGCCAAATACGTGGCGGACGGGGCAATCGGTGGACGGGGTTGCCCGCGGACGCACGGAATAATGTCTGCAACAACAACAACAAAAACAACAACAAAAACAGCCGTGGGCGAGCGCCGGGAATCAGAGTCGATTTCGTACCCTGACAAAGCGACGCCACCTTGTACGCGTCTCCCAGTGTGTTGCCACTGCACGCTCTGTTCCCCGAGTTCCAACACCTTATGGAAAGTGGGGTGGGTGGGGGGATGTGGGTGCTCGCGGAATATTCGTAGGGCAAGCGACGTGAATATAAATGCAGAGGAGAAACTCGCAGTTCTACTGCCCACGCAACAGAGTGTGTCACCCATCGCCTTCCGCCTCAATGCTACGATGGCTTCTGATAAAGCGCAGCAAATGTTTGTTTCCCCATGGGTCTGGTTTGACGTCGATCTGCATGCAGCCGCACGACAGAAGGGACCTCGAGAAGTGTGTGGACGCGCCACTTTGGCGGTAGCCCGAGGCTGAGCGCCACCAACTTCGCTTCCTCGCCGGCGTCAGCGAGCGTGCATCGTCGCACTGTGCTCCCGGGTTTTTTTTTTGTGTGTTGTTGTTGCTACAGAGCCAGCGCTTCCGTTGACATTTACCGGCTGTGCCAATTAGCGGTGACAATCTGAAAATACTGCCTCGCATCGGGAAGATAATTGCAAGTGTGTTGAGAGTAGTTTTAAATTGATAATTAAAAGCTCGCGTCATAATTACAAGCATAAAACGCAGCAACATTTCTTACGGAGGGAAAACATCTCAGATATGTCCTCGTGCCAAGCGCCTCTCTCTCCGTCCCACGGTCTTGGGCCGCGCATTGTCAAGATGGGAACATTTTTCTTCGTGTCCGTGCAGTTGAGGGAGGTTACGGAACATAGGATGTCCAGGAGGTGCGCAAAGACTAGAGGGAGGGTGACACAAAGCCATTTCCAGTGATGTGTCTGCACATTAAAGAAAAGTTTAGTACTTCTCCAGCCACAAAAAATGTTTTAACAAACATCGGTCTCCCTTGAATCTTCCCAGCAAAACGTAGTACACCTACTGTTATTTTCCATAAGCCCTTCTGCACTCTCTTACCCAGCCGCCTGTATCTGACTCTAATTGTGTAAATTGCAATGTTTCTAAGGCCATTGCTGTAAATGATTAAAAGGAGCAGAGGTTAACCCTGCCCATTCACCACCTAATCCCACTTAACAAGCTTAGCAGCTGGCGGCATGCCGTGCCATAGTTAAATGAAAAGTCCTCCATCCCTTAACCTTTTTACCTCTCTCAAAATAGGTTTGTGTAATCCAATTCATTTCCTGGACTTCCACCATCCTCCATTAGGACTAATATGTTGGCTGAGGAATTATATGCTGGCTTGAGAGCAGAGAGTTGAATAACTCAAGTCTCTCCTCCTCCTCCTCCTCCCCACACCCCTGCCCGACCCTGTTTCCCAACTTTGGCATTACAGTTTTCCTGGCCTCCTAATGGATCCAGCCACGCGCCTTTAGATGAATGCCTGCATGTGCTCAAAGTGAGAAGAGCCTGCCAGAGCCATTACCCTGATTGTCTGCCTGCCCAGTCATTCCAGCCGCCTAAGCCTCACTTAGCCTCGTCAAAGCCAGCCAGCATCACCCTCCCGCAACCAGTCTCCGCAGTTGGCCAATCACAACAGTAAACTTTCATCTCACATTCAACTGGAAAGCCACAGCAGTGTTCCTCTCTAAAAGATACTCAGCGATGCCAACCAGTTTTGTCAAATTGTGTGAGTGTGAGAAGTGAGTGTAGAGGTGATAAAACACGCCAAAGAAAGTAATTTTCTAGTTATCACCATTTGTGACTGCTGCTAATTGAAAATCATTACAGAATCACTAAACGGTCTGGAATGAACACAATTAACACTCCGGATACATTTTTAAAAAGCTATTTTTTTCTCACAATATTTCCTTTCTTTTTGTCGTGGTAGAAAGACGAAGGATTTTTTTTTTATCCGAACAACGCTCCATGCAAGCCGGTGCGCACACAACGCTGGCGATGCAACCTCGTTATGGCCTCCACACAGTCCACTTTATTGTTTTTACTGTCTGCTTTACGATTCCAATTTTGCTCGACATTAAATTTAGCTCTGTACTGAGCCTCTTTCTTGGCGATTTTATTACTTGTAAAAAAAATGTCAAACCAGTTCGGTGCTTGAATTAATAACATCAAGGTTAGGAAAGTAACTTTTATCAGTTTGATGAACATCGGGGCGACCGCGTGTGTACGCGCGCGCGCGTCCATTGAGCACACAGCGTGGCCCTACTTTGTCCGTGCGACTGTTTTAAACTATTTCAAGCAATCCTAGGTGTACGCAATGCATGAGGGTGTGTGCGTGCGCACATTTGTATTCATGTACGGTGAACTTCTTTCGCACCGCACGTAGCTAGCCGTGTTCATCGGAAACGCGGAGAGCGGCATTGCAGCAGTTAGCGCACTGCGCTTTGAAACCAACGTGTTCAATTCCTATTCATGGCCAACGCCAGTGACGATTATCTGAACCAGACCTTGGCCTCCCCTAAGTCGAATCCGCCTAAACGAAGTACTTTGTGCGATGTGTAAATATCTTTACTTGGGAGACAACGGCGGTCGGGCATAGTGCTGGTCCCCGACCCCCTCGTGTGCCGTACTGACCTTCAAAGGTGTCCACTAACAGCACTTGCCCCAATAATCAGTTTAGGCTATATGTGTGACCTTTGTCATTGTGTGCGCTTTAACATGCTTGGAGGCTGGTGTGTGTGTGTGCATCTGAGTGTGCAGCTGTGTATTACGTGTGTGTATGTGTGCATGTGTGTATGTATGTGTGTATGTGTGCATGTGTGCATGTCCTACATCACGATGGGAAGTTTTGGTTTTCACTGCCTGGGTTTCACTGCCTTTGTGTAATGAGGCGACTGCCTGGCCGATCATTATCCCGGGGTTCATGCTGTGGTCACCATGACCCAATGCGCATGGCGAAGGGCCTTCAAAAGCCGCACTGTATCAGTTTGCTACCTGGAGGGCCATCTCACAGTCCGCAGAAGATGTCCAGGATGCTATACAAACTCAAAGAGGCCCGCACAAGCTGCTGCCAGCGAGTTTGAAGAGCCAGTGAGGTACTTTGGAGCTCACTTTTCACTAAATGCCACGTGGAGACTCAAAGGACTAACACTTTAAAATGAGGCCGGGTGAAACTCGAGGCTCATCTCCGTAGCCCACAAACCACTCACTCCCTCTACATTTGTACAGTTGCATTTCATAAACATACGGAGTAGGCCTTATTTATTCTTCAATCCACATTTTTAAAAATTAGTTCTTTGAAAAAAATAGAAGTGCACTTTAATAGTAACATAAATGATATCACACCATGAAAAATCCAGCATGCTAATAACCAGATAACGTTCCATGAGGTAGCATTTAAACCTCTCATTTAATGGACTTCACAGTAATTAGATGGCCATTAAACCTAAATAAATGAAAAATGTCATGTGGAGTTAATATCAGTCATCCGCTGAAAAATCAAAATGCAGAAAAAGCGAGAAAACTACGACACCGAGCCGAGGCAAGTGCCCTCGCTCGCGGGCACGGCTCCTACCGCGGCCACGCACCTGAGCACCTGCGGCACCTGTGCCAGTGGCATCTCAGATACGAATATCTTCTAGAACTACCTGGGCAGCGTTCACGCATGGCGAGTTAGGCGCGCGCGTGCAATACGTGCGTCTGTTAAACCATTCCCCCGAATATGATTCCGTGACCAAATGCACACAACCGAATGGCTGTTGCGTTGAGGCCATGGTGCACCCTCTCCCAGCGTGGACGATCCGTCCGTGCCTGTACGATGACGCTCGTGGACACTGCACAGGCAGCGGCCACTCGAACTCCCCAGAATTAACAACGCATCGGCTCCAAAACACCTGTGACCGGCACCACTCCCAGGCTTCAGGCTGTACAATTCTGCCACTGAGTTATGCCTCGTCTACATCACCGTATTGATTTGTTGAGGGCAATTGTCAAGGAACTGTTCGCCGCTACACCATGTTGCTGTGCCCCAAAGTGATCTATAGAGAATGATATAAACGCCGAGATGTAGGTGAGGCTAACCAACCTGCGTCTGCCATATGGCCAATGCACCACCAAAGAAGGTTGCGCCAAATACCTCAAGCTAGATCCTTAACTGCTCCCCCCACCCCGTCCGCCTCCGTCAATAGAACGCATTGGAAGCGCCACGAAAAATAAAGGCCATATCTCTGGTGCCGGCCGGATCGATATGTGTAAGAGAAGGTCCCATGGCAGCATTTAGCATTGACGGGATGAGGCGAGCAGAACGGAGACAGAGCGCTTCGCAACAGGCATCGCCTGCAGTCGCCCGACCATTCCCCTCCATCCATGCCGCGGCCGCCGGTCGCAGATCCTGAGTAAGCAGTTTTGTGGATTTAGGATTAAAGTCTCAGGCTCTCTGCCACCTCTATCTGTCACATTCAAGGCGCCCGCGATGTGTGTTGAAGATACACGTGGCGAGGGGAGACACGTGCCGCGTTATAATCCGTGGGAATTTCATTGCCTTTGCCAGACGGCATCGGCGTGGGCGGTGTGCCGGCCCAGGTCTACGCAGGCCGCTCTTAACAGCATTCGCACGACGCCCTCGCGAGAGGCCGCGGGGACTCTTCCCCCCTTCCTCTGCGGGACCTTTGGGCGTGCGCGCGTCCACGCGGCAGCAGTCGCGTGGATTTGCGCATTTCTGTTGCTTTTCACCGGAGCCCGAAAACCCCGACTCCACCTTTAGCCTGGACCTAACTCCAGACCCAAACACAAGCCTTAATCCTAACCATGACACTCACCCTAATCTCAACTCTATCCCGCGACTAAGCTGAATGATAAATGCTTACCTGAATTTTTTTTTGTGTGATCTTCAATTAAGGAAAACTAGTGTTCATCTGGCCCTGCACGAGGTATTCCTCGAAGAAGAAGAAGAAAAAACAACTTTGACTTTAGAGTTTCGTGACTGCAGGAATTCATATTCTTTGGTTCTTTCGGTAAAGTCACGTAGACAGAAAATAAAATGAAAATAAAAAATGAAGAAAAAAACCCACGACGTTTCGATCGCGACACTAGCGGTCTCCATCAGGCGGAGCGATAATGAAGACCGCTTGTGTTGCGATCGAAACGTCGTGGGTATTTTGCTTTAATTTTTAATTTCATTTTTTATTTTCATTTTATTTTCTATCTACGTGACTTTACCGAAAGTACCAAAAAATAAGAAAAGAAAAACACGCAATCGGCCTCCTCTGCATAAGCAAAGGACACCGATTGATCACGTGGCTGATGACGATGACAGGCGGGCACCCAGAAACCACAGCCCAGGTGTGGGCACGGCGGCGGAAAGAAACAAGGGAAGTTTGCGTGCATTCGTTTTCGCTTTGCGCAAAGGCTTTCGAGTTGGGTCAGCAGCTCCTGTGTGGAACAATGGGTGCACGGAGCATACTAAAGCCGGCACGGGGCTAGTAGCTACGTGGCCTGATTTGCTGGGAAGCATCATCTGGCATCTGGTGCCTTACTGTGTGATGCGATGCTGCATGTTTTAGCAGCAACGGAGCAACCACGTGTAAAACACCTTTATTTGCATGCAAATTGTATAGTAAAAGGCCACATATATAACGTGCGTTCAATTTGGCGGCGCAGAGTACACGGAGTGAAAACAAAATAAAATGCGTCTCCGGGCATCACGCTAAGCATTGCAATGGCACAGGAACGAGGAATGACATCATGATATTTCAAATTGTGAACGTGAATATTGCCCCATTAAAATGTTACTGTATTCCGTTGAATTGGGATTCATTATTTAAATATGACTTATACATTGTACGTTACAGAAGATCGTTCAGCCTTGAACATTATTTCACCATGATGTCGGAAAAGCTGAGACGGCAGGCTATTTTTAAAACCATCCCCTCATTCGCTCCCCCCTCTCTACCTGCCAGAGGAAAATCTCCATCAGTGGTAACGCTAATGACGGGCAAAGCCAAGCTGGCCCAGAGTAGGAAGCCACCGTTGGCTGAGCCGAGCGAAGCGCTCCCCTGGGTCGAGCGCAATCATGCATCACGCGAGGAACCTCAGCAGTGGCGGCGGCCCGTGTGACGGCCCCACGTGACGGCTCGCAGTCCTGGCGGCACAAGAAGCGAATGCTGTCTCGCGGCGGCATCACGCAGTCTCACTGTACCCAGAGGACGACAAAAAATAATTTCGGGGGGGCGGGGGGGGGGTGGGACGGGCCGTGCGTGCGCACCGATACACGCGCGATAATGTCACCAGCAGTCGCCGGTGAGACGGGCGCGTTCGGCAAAGCGGCGGTTTTTAATTGCGAGCAGAAAATTACGGGCTCTGAATTGGACGCCCCACTGTTGACTGTCACGCGGTGGCCAGCCCTGCTCTCTAGAGGTGCCGTGCCCGGGCGCATCGTTTGTATTTTGAACCGAGGTGGGCAGGGGCAGAGAGGTCTCTATTCCATGCCGGTCAAATCCGCGTTCTCAGCGTTGCCAAGACTTCTACGGGACCTTGAACACAGGGGATTGATCAGCTTCACATTCCGAAATATTACGGTCAAATGGATGAATATGCACGGCCTGAATGCACTCAAGGGTGGTCGTCCCGTGGAGAAAGTGGCTTACATAATGGGGATTATCACCCCCTGCTCATGCTGGAGTCACGGTGGAGTTGCAGACCACCCCAATGCTTGATTGGTGCACGGAGGCTTTGACTCACAAATCGATGCACATAAAACACTTGGCGTGACTGAAGCACTCACAAGCACATGGCGCTCGTACGGAGAAGTGCGTGCAGCCTGCAAGTGTCTACAAGGGCATGCACTCTCATCACCCTTGCACCGTGACCCACCGAGCCCCCGTTAGGGCCAGGGGGGGTGGGGGGGGGGTCTGCGTGGAGGTGCCGAAGTAGGCAGGCGCTCAGGTGCGGCCTGGCCCAGAGCACTCCAATCACTCGGCCGATGTCGACGTATTCTCTGTTTGTGTCAGAGCCACTCGGCAGACATTGATCACTTGTAATGTGGTAATTAAATTACTTGTATATTGATCAACAGGCGCGCGGTGATGTACACGAGCGGCGCGCACCAAACAAGGGGCCACAGACGAGTCGAGGCCATCCCTCACGGGGACACAACAGTTACTTTGTAATTTAAAATCAATGGAGCGCCGAGGGCTGGCCGCTTCCCATCGGCACCTGCGGCGATTTGTTTCGCTGAGAAATCCGCGATTTTTCTTCTCGGACACGATGTCGATGGGGGCCCGGGAATGGGGATGTATTGGTGACGGAGGGGAAATGATTTCATCACTCGGCCGTGCGGCCACGACTCACAGGCAGCGTGCACATGCAGAGACGAGCTTCTCTCGCGCGGCCCGCAAAGCGCACGTTAATCGCCAGGTAGTTACGCGGCTAAATTGGGGCGATCCGTTCTTGTCTCTTTAAACAGCTCTGGATACTTTCTCTTGTTACGGATATTGATTATATTAATTCACCATCATTCCCCAGCAGGAAAACATCACATTTGTCCACTCGAAGGCAACCCAATAACCGACATGAATATTCCGTTTTTCATCTCTGATGACCTACTAACACTCGTTAAAATCTGCCAACACCATTTCAGAATTAAACCTTTTTTAACGATGATGAAGTGAGAAAGTGCTGTGCCGCCGTCCTGTCGCGCCACGCGGGGAGGCTCTGACGCACGACGACAAAAGCTTCCATCGCGAGATGCCTGCCTAGCAGGGGGGGGAGGGTGGGCGCAGCTGGGTGCCCCCGGGGCCCCCTCCCGCTCCCCTCCATTGCTTCAGCAGCCCCCCCCCCCCCCCCCACTGGCCCCCTACCCCCCTGCCATGGCAGGCCTCAGCTGGGTGCCACAGATGGTCGGCAAGCGCCACGTCACCTTGAGTCTGGCACCAGGAGCAGCACCGTTACATTCCTCTTTGTGACAAACCGCACCGGCGCTTGGCACACAGCGCAAGGCGGCGTTGGCAGCTCGGCTGTTTTAAGGGGATCTGGAAGCGCATGGCTCAATGCGCGTGTTTAAATATATTTAAGCACCGTGACCATTTATAGCCTCCCGGAATGTGAAATGAGATTTGGACACGACGTACATGAGATAAATCAACAAGCTCATGGACACACTCTTAGCGCGCACGTGCACACGCACGCGCACACGCACGCGCGCTTGTCCACATGCCACCATAAACACAGGTGGAAATGAGCTATTGTATGGCAACAGCATTGAGGCCCAAGGTTTCCTTTGCAGAAACAGACGCGTGACATCCGCCGATCCTCTCTCCGAGTAGAATACTTACTGACTGACCGACTGCCTGCTACATACTCCAGTAATCCCTCCGTACACCGTGACCATTTGACTCACATCACCGAGCCGATTGAGAGAAAGAGACTTCTAAGACAAAACAGACAAAGGCATATGACTTGGTCATGAATAAATAACACGAGACCATGTGTTTGTGTGCGTACGAGTGTCAAATTCATGGGCACGTATCATCATCATCGTCGTCGTCGGCACCATCATCCATCCGCGTTGTTGCAGGACACAACACGACACCGACCTGGCACACGCATTCGCCCTCACGCGCC